AGCAAAAGCTAGCTAAATGCTAAAAGTAGCATTAGAAGACAGTTTGACTAAAACAATATTTTAAAAATAACTAAATAAATCTAAACATATTTATATGGAGAAATATTTATAAATAAAGTTAAATATAAAAAAATATGAGGAAAAATTAAAATTTCTAGCACCTTTCTGCTAAAACCCTTTGTTATATTTTAACTGTTCGTACTTAAATCAAAGTATGCAGAACAAGGTAGTTTGTGAAAATATGTTAGAATAAATRAAGAAGAGGAGCTGCAGCTCCTCAATCACACACTTTAATCCCCTAAATGGGATTAAACACAAACCAGAACATAAAAAGTCATATTTAATATTTTCGTGAGAAAAAAAAACCTCTTAAATTATATTAAATTATATTTTTGCAGCCAGTACTTTTAAACGCCACCTCTCGTGCTCCGAACGTCTAAAGATCACTTTCTAATCGATGTCCCATCAGTTTGATGAGTGTCGGAGCATAATTACAYAACTGCAGTCCTCTGATCAACAGCTGACACATAAATAAAAACACGGGTTGRACTGAATTCAATCTCACAGAGTGGGAGCTGCTGCTTTAATTAAGTGTTATTAGCAAATTAGTGTTTGTTTTTAAAGCTCCACTGTGAGTTTGGACGCCGCCGGCCTCATCCATTCACGTTAAAAATAGACGAGGTTTTCTGTCTTTAATCTCATTTGTAGCAGAAGTGATTAAACTAAGACTTCACCTCAGTTTTTAGAGTTAATCTGGGTCCATGGAGGAAAACAATCAGTAAAAAAGTAACACGTTTTGATCAATTACCCACAATCTTTGTGTATTTTATAAAGCTGTGGAAGAATTCTCTGCTGTTTAATATTAGAAGTTGCAGAAAATTCTACTTCAACGTTTGTGTGATAAATTCTGATACATTAAAACATTTATGGACTCTGATCTACAGTGTTACTGGTTCTGTTTGTGATCAGATTTACTTGACATTTTCTGACATAAAATCCCACCTGAACCAACCCAACAGGGACAAATGTCGCCCCCGGCAGGAGCTGCTTCCTTCATTAYGATGCAGCTGACATGAAAACGTCTTTATGAGGCGACGACAAGGTGACCTTTGATTGTCCGAGGAAGACGTCTCTATTGGAGAAAAATCATCCAAATTATTCCAACGCCATCATCAGCGGCGGCGGCTCGAATTAAAATAAACCGTTTTTGTCAGATTTCTAAAAACCAGTTCAGCTGAATGATGAGAGTTATGACAAAAATGTTAATATTTCCTCAAATAGATCAGCTGAAATAACCCTTTCTTTTATCAGACAGTTACAATAAATGACTTGTCTGGATCAGGGGCGGAGCTAGACTTTTTGGGAAGAGGGGGCCCAGGTGTTTTTTTACGGGGGGGACATACAAATAAAGAAAAGTACCCTGGATTTGAAAATTTAAGATGGCTGCCACAGCTAATTCTAAATGGCTTTAATTCAGCTGAGTTAGTCACAACTTATTAGTCAGGTATTTTTAGACAGTTCGTGACGAAGTAGCCAAAAACAATCTTTACCAAATTCTAAATGCTAATCAAAAATTCAAGCCAACCGCCACAGCTAACTGTATTTTAGCTATTTAAGACTTATTAATGATCACATGTCGATTGAGGATGCTAATCCCAAATTAAGCTAACCGCTAATGCTAATTCTAATTTCACACAGGACTATAATTCGGCCATCTTTAAATATACACTGCTGAAAATGTACACAGTACAGAAGCATCAGAGAACAATCTTTAACAAAATCTAAATGTAAATACAAAATTAAGACCCCCACAACCTTGTCAGTTGTGTGGGGTGGCACTTGGGGAGGCCAAGGTGTTTTTTGGGGGCACATACAAATCAAGAAAAGCACCTGGATTTGAAAATTCAAGATGGCCACCACAGCTAATTTCAAATGGTAATAATCCAGCTGTTTTAAGAAATAYTGAGCTGAAATTTGTGCGATTCTAACTAAGAATGATCCAAAAGACGTGCTAGWCACAACTCTATATTCAGGTATAAAGAAGTCTTTACCAAATACTCAGTGCTAATCAAAAATTCAAGATGGCCACCACAGCTAACTAYATTTTAGCCATTTAAGACTTATTAAGATGAAATTTGTAGATTAGCTAAGAATAATCACGTTAATTGTCAATTTTAATCCCAAATTGAGCTAACAGCTAATGCTAATTTTACAAAAGGCTATATTTCAGCCATTTTTAAAGATACACAGCTGAAAATGTTTATATTACAGTATCATCGGACAACAATSTTCAACAAAATCTAAATGCAAATACAAAATTCTCCCCAGCCACAGTCAGTTGTTTGGGGGTGGCACTTGAGGTGGCCAACCAGGTGCATCAGGTGAAACTTGCCACCCTTTGACTCCGCCCCTGGTCTGGATGAAACGAAGGTCTTTACTGAGTAAAGAAGTTGTGTTTTTCTCTCATAGCTTTGGTTTTTCTGACTCCACAGGTGAAAAGGACATGGACGATTACTACCCGAGGAAGCAYCACCACCCGGACTTCGGCGGCAGAGGCCCGACCCACATGGTGAAGCTGAGCGCAGAACCCCAGCAGCACCAGCAGCGCCAGCGTCCTCGACGGGTCCAGCGGGCCATGTCCCAGGACCACGTCCTGTCCCCGCCCAGGACGCCGCGTCGCGGAGACTACAACCTGTCGTCGTACGGCGCCGTGGCGGCGGCGGCGTACGGCAGCAGCAGGAACCTGTCCAACGAGCAGCTGCTCTCCGCCGACCGCCTGCACTCCCAGGACCCCCTGCTGCTGTCCCCGGCCATGAGGCGCGACAAGTTCCGGGAGAAGGCCATGGCGCGGGCCATGTCCCACGCCGACATGCTGCTCCCCACCACGCCCGTCATGGATCGCCACAAGATGACCAAGATGCACTCCCAGCCCAGTGCCTCTAACGACTCGTACAACACGCTGATGGTCAACCATCATGCAGGCACGTCCACGTCCAAGAGGCAGGCGTTTGCCAACCGACGAACACACACGGTGGACCACCTGCAGTACATTCCCGGGCACCACCACGCGTACCGCACTGCCAGTAAGAACGAGGTAACTGTTTAACCTCCGACGTTCAGCTCCTCCTCAAACCACCTCCTACRTTAAAACTCTTCCTGCTTTTTACCACGAGCTTCGGCGCCGCCCGGACTCCGGGTTCCTAGGATCAACCCCGGCAAAACTTCTTCTTCTTCTGCGTTTTTTTTTTTTTTTTTTGTTCCTCTTAGAGCATCTTAAGGGCTTTGCGTGTCGACACAAAGATCCTTCTTGTTGACAATGTGAAGAAAATATTTTTTAAACTGAACTCGAGACTCAGAGGGAGTTGTAATAACTTTATAAATACATAAACTATATTTATTATTTGTACTTTCAGTCCTTGTTATAGCTTTAGACATAACCGATGTAAGCGCTTCAAACGATGCCTCTTGGATTCGTCCCATTTCAACTACGAAGTGGATTTGTGGGTTAAAAAGCACAATAAATGAATTCACTTTAAATTTTTATTAGGTTCTGTTTGTAAAGGCCAGAACATCAGTTTAGACTAGAAATCAAGGAGGTTGTTTTTGTTGCATACAATAAATGATTGTAAATAAGCTATATTAGCAGCATTATACTAAGAAAGCTGGTGTTTTGTCCTCACGCATTTTCTTTTATAATCATTTTTTAGATAAGAAAAGGGTTACAGATTAGTTTTATTTCCACTGATGTCTCAAACTTAAACTGGGAGTATTCTTTGTGTTTGTGGCACAGAACGGTTGTGAATGAAACCTTTTTTCTCCTGTATTTATTCATTTGTTGGTGAAAATGGAGCTGAGTAGTTCTGACCCTCCTGCTTTTACGGTTCTTTATTCTCGTTACTTCATAACAGATACTCAGTGTTGTGGAATATTTAGGCTGAAAATCAGTTTTCGTTCTGGCTCAGAGTGAGGACCACGTCCTGCTGGATTGACGAGACCTTCCTTCGTTTGTCGAGCATCAATGAAACTGTGAAATGTTTGTCCAGCTTTGTTTCCATTAAAGCAATGCCTTATTGTGATAGAATCCCCATATGTCTTAACGAACAATCACGCTTTTTCTACACTGTTCAGACGGCTAACCAGCAAAACCAGACGCTTAAATCTGGGAAATGAGAAATCAGAGCAAAACGATCAGATGTGATTCAAGGGATCCAGGATTAGTTACAACATTAGACTTTATTTGATAAACATATATTTTAACTGTAAAATAAAGACTGTAAAAATACTGTAGGATGTTTAGTTAGCCTGTTAGCTTTAGCGTGTGTGTGTGTGTGTGTGTGTGTGTGTGTGGTCCATCTTTAGTTTGAAACACCTGAAATAATCTCTTACAGTCTGAGGAAGGAGTTTCAAGGGATCCAGGATTAGTTGTAACATTAGACTTTATTTGATAAACATTTATTTTAACTGTAAAATAAAGACTGTAAAAATACTGTAGGATGTTTAGTTTTGTAAATTTTTTTAATTTTTAACACGGACGGAGCCATTTTATTTCCACACAAAGCATTCTGGGTAAATGATGACGTGGATAGGTCCTCGGTGCGAGGCTGAGCTAGCAGCAGTATTTTTACAGTCTTTATTTTACAGTTAAAATAAATGTTTATCAAATAAAATCTTATGTTACAACTAATCATGGATCCCTTTAAATAAAACAAATAGATGTAGTTCTCTTGTGTACATCACATGAGGTAATTTCAACTTCGAAGTGGACTCGCTTCATCCCTGGCTTGCATTGGGCCCTGAAGCCGGGGACTCGCTTCATCCCACATGGTCTGAGGGGGGCCCTGAAGCCGGGGACTCGCTTCA